CTTGAAATAAAACGTAATACGTGTAACACGTAAGAAGGGGCGACGGTGCGGGGGGAAAAGGCACAAAGTCCTCCACCGACCCCGACAGGCCCGAGTTGATACCCGGCCGTTTCCCGGCAACGCTCCGCCTCGGGGGCGGGTCCTCGGCCTCTGGCGCCGCAGCGGGCGCGGAGCCTGCGCGAAGGGCCCGTCCCCGGGACACGGCGCCCACGGGTGCTCCCAGGCGCGGAGCTGGGACAGCAGGAAGGGAGACGGAGTGACTGGCGTGCGTGTGCCCGCGGGGACTCACCCCCCCCAGCTCCGCCGCAGCCCTTCGGCGAGAAGGGGCTGTGAGTGTGAGCAGTGACATGTCCAGGGCCCCCAGACGGCCGACGGCTGCGTCCCTCGTGGAGAGGAGAGGAGTCAGGGGCTGCTCGCCCTCCGCCGACGGCCCTGTTGCAAGGTCCCCGAAGGATCGCATCACACGCAGGGCCCGTCACTCCCTCCCGCTGCACCCCCCCTCCCCCAGCCCCGGGTAGCGGGCTGAGCCCTGTCCCTGCGGCCGTGAGCACGGGAGCCGCACGCACGGCCCCGGAGCGCCGAGAGCCCTCGGGTGGGACCCCGTGCGTGCAAGGTCCCGCAGAGCCGCGTGTAACAGCAGCCTTCCGACCGCGTGCCCGCGGCCTTCCGTCAGTGCGCACGCCGGCGCCCCGTGCCCGGCCCAGCCCCCAGAGTCCTATCCAGCAAATAAAGTCTCTTCAGCCGGGGTGCGGGGTGGGGTGGGGGTCCCAGAGGCGAGCCCCCGGCCGGAGCGGCACGGCCATGCGGACGAGGGGCCACCCCCCGAGCTCTGCGGTGACCGAGACAATCCCGGCCAGGGCGCCCCACGCTGGCGCGTCCCCTCGTCGGTGCAGCCAGAAGGCCCTCGGCTGTTTCCGCCACCACGTTGTAAGGTTTGGGGGCCCCGGGGAGGAGCCGGCGACAGCTGCGGGACAGGCCCTGAATTCCGCCAGGCCCATCTGCTCTCGGGGAGCCGGGGGGGCCTGCCGGCACTGGCGGAGCCGGGGTGACGCGGCCGTGGGAGCAGGAGGGAAAGTGGGGGGCACCGGGGCGGGCCTCCCGGGGCCAGGGCCTCGCCCACTCACTCGGACCTGCGCTCTCTGGGGTGATAACGACACTCGCCGGTACCTTTCAGCCCCCAGCCGGGGCCCTGTCCCGTCCCACTCACCCCCAGGCGTCCCTCCTCCCTGCAGGGCTGTGATCGGGGCCCAGCGAGCCTGCTCGCTGGCCCCCTCCTTCACGCCCCCACCTCCACGTGTCCGGGGGCAGCCGCCACCCCCACCAGCTGGGCGGGGACGCAGGGCTCACGCCATCTCAGCGGACCAGGTGGACAGGTCCCAGGTGCTCAGGCTTAGGCTTCCTGGTGTCATTTCCTGCCTGAACACTCTGGAGTGGGGGCAACATTCAATATTTCCTACCAAGTGCTTTGTGAAATCGTAGAGATGGGAATGGGACATTTTAAAGGTTCTAAAGTCTCTTCTTCCAACGTGCTTGGTGTGCTGCCACTGGGGAAGGGTCCCCACACCCCTCTATGACACTCCCGTCCTAAGCAGCCCTCTGGGAACCAAGCCGGGGTCACCAAAGTCAGCGGGAACAGGGGTGGTGGCTTGTGCATGGGGTCCCTGGGGGGCAGAGTTCCAGGGACTGGATGGAAGGTCCATCTGCGGGGGGGGGGGCGCTGGGGGGGCAGAGAGGGCCACTCCAGCCCCCAGCACCCACTCCCCCCCCCCGCCCCCCAGAGGGAGACCTCCGTCTCAGCGACCCAGGCGCTGCTCTCTGGCCTGGTCTTCGCTCCGCTCACTCTTGCTTTCTGGTGCTCAGGTGAAGAGAGGGCGGGGGGCGGAGGGGGCAGAGGCTGGTCTCAGCCGCAGAGACCACCGTCTGTTCAACCCCCTCAGGGGTGCAGGGCACTAGCCGGCACTTAGCGCTAGGCTCGGGGCCGTGCAAGACCGCGAAAAACACGGCACATCGGTGTGCATTTCGTTAGGTCACGAGAAACGGCACTCGTGTACGGCGCGAGCTGGGACGAGAAGGCACGCGCTCCCTCTGCGCTGGGCCCACGCTCCCCAGGGGACTCCGGGTTTTCACTGTTCGGCACGTGTCCTTCAGTGACCGTGGAAACTCTCGCGAGCACGGATTCTGGGGCTATGGATGAACTTGGGCAAGTAGGCGAATTTGCAAATACGGACCCCGTGACGAATGAGGGTCAGGGCCCCATTATTTTATTGAAGCCTTATTTAATCCTTGTAACAACCTGCAGGGGAGGGGCTGTTAGCGCCTTGATTTCCACACCTGAGAAAGTGAAAGGGTTTGCCTTGCTGGCTCCAAGTCCCCAAGTAACAAAACGGGGAGCAGGGGCTCTCTAACAGGCAGGCTGGCCTCGGAGCCTGGCCTCGTCAGCGTACGGTTTCTTTTGGTTTGTATTTTCAGTACACTTTGTGCGGTATGTTTCTGGAAATTCAGCTTGGCTGATAAGGCACGAGAAGTGAAAAAGTCCAAACCACACTCTTAAACCTTCAGTGTTATTTCCCAAGCAATGTTTCTTACACCCAAGTACAGGTCGAAACACGGGAAATTGCCCTTTTTAGGCCAAAAGTAGTTGGGCACTGCCAGGTTTACGTGGCTCAACCCCATGCCTCCTTGGAAAGCTTTTCCTCCATTAGCAGACATATCTGTGTATTTCCTCTTTTTGCATATGGAAACCAAAAGTTACTCTACTTGCAATGGAAGACTTTGAAGAAGGTACAGAGGGACCCTTTTATTGACTAGAAGCGTAGAGATTTGTTGTCTTATAGCAGATGTCGATCATCTATTTTCCGATCTTTTCAAATGAAGGACAGAAAGAGAAGATCTCCCACTTCTGTAGAAACCGGCCAAATGTAAGTATTTTCTGCCCCCAAAATGCTGAGCATCGGACTGTTTCGTCAGAGTAGTAGATGATCTGCTTTTTTAGGGGTCTAATAATACCTGTATGTATCTAATTGAGATTAGACACAATCTCTACCGAAGGCAGTAGCATGGATCACAAAAGTCCTCACGGGTCCACCTGTTAACCGTCGCCTCTTAGGAATCTGGGTGATGGAACAAAACAAAGTAACAGACGTTTCCTTATGGTCTTATCAAACTGAAAAGCAAAACCTCTCCGTTGGTGACCTCAGAGGAGTCTATTCATGGAAAACTCCAAGATACTCTGAAATTCATGTGGTACGGGCAGCCCTAATTTTTAATCTCTCTTTAAAATGTCCATGGTGGATAGCAAGGGGGACAAAAGCCGCTTCCTCTTTTGCTGGCATTCACCCACCCAGAACGAGCCGGAGAACAGTAAACAGCTGTCCGAAGGTGTTGCAGTATTTATGCAAAACCGGAAAGATGGGTTGGATTTAGTGACTCCTCTTCTGAGTAGGGTTTCGCACGTTCAAACTGCTAGCTGGAGGAGAAACTGAGTAAATAAGTACCTCTCACAAATAAAAAGGAAGAAGGCAGCCTCCTGCTAGTTCACCTGAGATGATCTAAGTCCATCTATTCTCATTTCACCTTGAAAAGTAGGCGCTCCGTGTTGAGGAGATGGGGCTGGGCGAGAGCTGGTGCCCAGCGCCACCTGGCGGTCAGAACACAGATCCGGCTGCCCCAAGGCCTGCCCTGCTCCCCGCCGTGACCCCTCACAAGTGCAGACGTTTCGAGCACTTCGCTCTTGGCAAGGAGATGTCCGCCTCAGAAGTGAACCCCGCTCAGTATACCTGAAATGGCCCCCAGTAGTCTCTTCCTGGTGTCAGGCCTGAACATCACGTTTGCTGCTTGGGAGGCTGGGGCTGCTGCACTCGACGTGGGGCCGCAGTGCTGGACCCGGGGCCTGCGGCCCTGGGCGCTGGGGCCGCAGCACGGGCCGTCGGGGCTGTAGTACTGGGCGCGGGCGCCGCAGTGGTGGGGGTCAGGTTTGCAGTACTGGGTGTTGGGTGTCAGGCCAGTGGTGCTGGACGCCGGGGCTGGAGTGCCGGGTGGCAGGCCGGCAGTAGTGGACCAGGCTGCAATGCCAGGGAGGGTAGTGCTGGACGCCGGGGCTCCAAGACTGGACCGGGGGGCTGTAGTGCTGGGTGTTGGGTGTCAGGTCAGCGGCGCTCGGCGCCGGGGCTGCAGTGCCGGGCCGGGAGAACTGGACGCCGGGGCTCCAAGGTTGGCCCTGGGGGCTGTAGTACTGGGTGTTGGGTGTCTGGCCACCCGTGCTCGCTGTCAGGCCCGCAGTACTGGGCGCTGGACTTACAGTACTGGGTGTTGGAGCTGCGGTGCTGGGCGCTGGGGCCGCGGTGCTGGGTGCTGGACTTACAGTACTGGGTGTCAGGGCTGCAATGCTGGGGCTGCAGTACTGGCTGTCAGGGCTGCGGTGCTGGGCGCCGGGGCCGCAGTACTGGGTGCGGGACCTACAGTACTGGGCGCCGGGGCTCCAGCACTGGACCTGCGGGCTGTAGTACTGGGCGCCGGGCCAGCAGTACTGGCCGCCGGGGCTCCAACACGGGCTCCGGGGCCGGCAGTACTGGCCGCCGGGGCTGCAGTGCCGGGGCTCGGGTCTGGAGCACCCGCCGTGGGTCTGCGGCGCGAAGCGTCGACAACACGCGTGGGGACCCGCGTTCGTGGGCCCATTCATCCTACAGCAACGGCGGCGCGTCCCTCGCGACCCGACGCCAGGTGAAAGGAGGCGGCGACCGGCTCAGTCGGACGGGGTCACGGCCGCCGCCAGGCTGGAGGGCGGGAGGGGAGGGGGAGGCGCTGACGCCCACGCCCCCCGCTCGCGGGCGCGGATCCCCACCCGTCCAGCCGGGCGCCGGCGAGCGAGTGCGCGCTGCTAGGCAGCGGCGGGGGCCGCGCGAGCGCGCCGGAAGCGGGCGGCGCGGACTTCCGGTCGCGTGGGGCTTCGCGTTCCGGGTTCCGGGTTCCGAGTTCCGGGAGGCGGGCGAGCCGGAGCCGCCGGGGCGGCCGCGGAGCGAGGCCATGGAGAAGCTGCGGCGGGTCCTGAGCGGCCAGGACGACGAGGAGCAGGGCCTGACCGCGCAGGTAGCGGGGCCGGGCGGGGCGAGCCGGTGCTGGGCCGGGGTGGGGGCGGGTGGCTGGGCCGGCGCGCCTGCCGAGGGAGCGCTCACCCGCCCCGCGGGGAGACCCTGGGGAGCCTTCCGGGTGCTCGCGGAGTCTGCGGAGGCTCCAGAGACCCAGCCCGCGCCCCGCTTTTGGCCTCTGAGCCTCGCGAGCCCCTCTGCCGCCCGTCATCGCGCCCCCAGGTCAGCCCGGCTCTGCCGGGTTCCTGCGCTCGGCGTGGGCCCTGAACCCGGCTGGGCAGCGCCGGCGGCGGGTGGGCAGCGCCGCTGTCCTGCGGGCTGCAGCAAGCCCACGTCTGGTTTGCCCCGGGGGGGGGGGGAGGTGCTGTGAGTGCGTGTGTGTGTCTTTGGGAAGTAGAGACACAGGAGGGGGCGGGGCAGGTCGTTGAAAAAGCGAAATAAACGGAATTAGAAGTTGTCCGTTGAGGCATGGAGTCCCTGCCAGAAAATTGAGAATAAAACAAAAACATCCTTTGCTTCTGCGCTTGACCTGGGAGGCTGGATGAGGGTTACTTCCTCTAGTGAGAGGATTATAAATAGCAGCGGAGCAGGATCTGCTTTGTAAGTGTTTCTCTGGTGTCGTGCAGATGGGACGTCGCTGGCCTGTCACCGAAGGGGGGTCACTTACAGCCCAGTAGTGCTGCCCGAGGGTCGCTCGTTAGTCCCTCTCCTTTCCCATCTCCCTTCCTGGTCGTGTTTCCTCAGCACGTCTTGTGGGCAAGATCCCAGGCTAGTCTAGCGGGGTTCAGGGTCCGAAAGAGAAGCATCCGCTCTCAGTGGACCCTGGAGTGGGCCTGGCCGACCACAGTGGTAATACACGAAGCCACAAACGGTAGTGTGAGAAACGTCGTAGTGTGAGAAATGTCAGTAGGGCAGTAGTGGCTCACCCCGCTCATTTATTGAACCTCTGTTTTGTGCTCCACGTTATGCTCCAGATCTGCGCCACACGGGACAGGAGCCAGAGCTGCGTGAGGCTGTGTACATTTACATGGATGAAAATTAAGTAAAATCTGAAATTCTCCTCTTAGTCACATGAGCCACATTTCAGGTGCTCAGGAGGCACACGTGCGTGTCAGTGGCCACTGCACAGGACAGTACGTGAGTGGGACTTTTCATTCCAGAAAGGTGTGTTGTACTGAGCTGCTCTAAATCTTGGGGACACGGAGGTGACAGTGTCACTTTTCTTGAGGCCACAGTCTAGATGTTGAGAATAGTCCAGGAAACGGGGAAGCTGATGATTTAGGCAAGACAGGGGATCATTGCTGGGGTGCCGCCCAGGACTGGTTGGGGAGACCCCAGGAGCGGGGAGCTGGTGCACGAGAGAAGGGGCTGGCCTTGCCTGGGCACGCGGATGGCGGCCAGCTCACGTGGGCCGCTGTGCGGGCTCGCGGGAGGGGAGTGGAGAGAGCACAGCTCCCGGTGCTAGCGTTGGAGTGGGATAGGATTCTTCCCTGACCCCTGGCTGTCCACACCGAAGCAGGAAATCAGGTTGCCCGAGGAAGTGAGGAGGGGGTGAGTGTTGAAGGTCAAGGAGAAGGTGTGAAGTGGTTAGAGAACAGGCACATGCATGCAAGGGAGCCACACCGGGCTGTTCGCAGCACACCCCACCTGTGGGCAGTGGCCCTGAGTTTGAAGCCCGAGTCAAGTTGAGCAGCTGGAAGGCAGGGCCGGCAGAGTTGGACTTAACCAGGTTCAGCTTTTGCCCGAGACTGCATCAGCGGGACCGAGGGCGGGGTGATTAGAGGAGGCAGCAAGGGTGGGGGTGGGGCATGGGTGGGCTGGGCAGGGAGGCTGGAGGGTAGGCGGTGGTGACCGGAAAGGGGGACACGTGAAACTGAGATTGTGGAGATTGTGGTGCGTTTATTGTCTTCCTGTGGGGCTTGGTGGTTGGCGTAAGTGCAGAATTCGACCGTCAGAGGGAAGCTCGGGGAACCGAGTCTCAGAGTTTGGAGGCTTGCTGACCCCAGTGACGAAACCACTAGGCGTTCAGACAGGAGTGAGGGATGGTGGTGCGCCCCATGCAGAGTACTCACACGCAGGAGGTGTGGGGCGGGCAGTGATGGGGCTGACCCAGGGGACGGTGGTGACCGCAGTGAGGAGCAGGGGCCTGGTGTGATGGCAGGATCTTGGAGGAGGTGTTTCTGGGGCCGAGGAAGGGACCGGAAGCTGCCGTGAGCCCCTGGTGGTCAGGGCGTGGAGGTCAGGCCTGGAGAAGATAGGGCCGCGCTTGGCCGGTGCAGGTGCGGGGAGTGGGGGCGGTGGGGGCATGGCGGGTAGTAGACATCGCCGCTGATGTGTCGGGTGATGTCCCCTCGAGTGTGGCAGGACGCACATGAGCGGGGGTTGGAGGATTTGTTGGGATTGGCTCAGGGCACACTGGGGAGGTGGCCGGACAGTGGGGGGAGGGATCTGAGCTCAGGGGCTGCCCCATCATCCTGCTGAGGGGGGTTGGAGGCCAGGGTTCCAGGCGCGTCCCCAGATGCCTTCAGCAGGACTCCCGGATCTGGCTGAGGTAATGCTGCCCTCCGGCCTGGGAGCTGGGTGGGGCCGGCGGTGAGGGCGGCGGGGCCTGCTGTGGGAGCCACGGGGCGGAGGTGGGGGCAGTGGGGCGGAGGTGGGGGCGGCGGGGCGGAGGTGGGGGCGGCGGGGCCGGCGGTGGGGGCGGGGGGCAGAGGTGGGGGCAGGGGGCAGAGGTGGGGGCGGCGGGGCTGGCTGTGGGAGCCACGGGGCGGAGGTGGGGGCTGCGGGGCCGGCGTTAGGGGCAGGGGGGCGGCGGTGGGGGCGGCGGGGCCTGCTGTGGGAGCCACGGGGCAGAGGTGGGAGCCACGGGGCAGAGGTGGGAGCCACGGGGCGGAGGTGGGGGCGGCGGGGCCGGCGGGGGGGGGGTGGCGGGCAGGCGGCGGGGGCAGCGGTCTGCGGCGCCTGAAGGACTTTACAGCGCACATCTGTGTCCACGGCAGGCTGCCTGGCGGAAGCGTCCGGCCGGTTGGAAGCTGCTGCTCCCCGCCGACCTGGCTCTGAGCCCCCGTCCTGCCTCAGGACCGCCCAGAGGAAGAGGAAGGCTGCCTGAGAGGCAGTGGGTTTTTGACAGACGGGTGCCGCAGAAAGGGCATTGTAAGTGCCCTGCTGAGTTGGTGTGGCGTGTGAGTTCTGCGAGACAGAAAGGAGAAGGACCGGTGGTCTGGCCGAGGGGACCCGGAGGCTGCGGCCGCCAGCAGGACGCCAGGGCTGGGAGCTGCCGCTTGAGGCCTGGCCGTGGGCGGATTCCAGGTGGTCAGTGTCCTGGCTCGCTGAGCGCCGCGGAGGGCAGAGGCCGCTCGGATTAGGGGACGAGGAGCAGCGCGGCGGGCTGTCCGTGTGGATGGGAAAGCAGCCGAGACCCGGCTGGGATCCAGTGTGGGGCCGTGACCAGGGTCCTGAGTGGCAGAGGATGCCGGGAGAGCAGCAGGGACAGGAGTGGTGAGGGCAGGGGAGGCTGTTACCGTGTAAGCCAGCCAGCCAGGGCAGGGGACTGGGTCAGGTGGGGGGACGGTCCCCCCGGGAGTGTGTGGGACCCCTGTTCCCTGTGCTCGCTGTCGGCTCACCTTCAGCTCTTTGCGCTCTATGCTGAGCTCGTTTGCTCGGGGCCTGAATGTTCTGTATTTACGAATGGAAATAACTTGATTTCGGCCTTAAGATCACCCCCAGACGTGGTGATAAGGACGACACCTCCCGTGGTACAAACAGCCACGCGGACGGAGGAGCCAGCGGCCCATGGAAACCAGCAGGTGACCTTAGGAGCGGCGGGTGATTTAAACTTGCAGAAGGAAGTTCCAACGACGGGCGCCCACATCGCTGTCCTCACCTGACCCTTGGGAGGTCAGGCTTGCGGAGGACACGGCTCTGCCCGCGCCACGCTGGCCGCCTCCCTTGTCGTGCGGCGCCTCCGGGCCTTGCTGTGCTCTGTGTGGCAGGAACACTTGGCGGGCGCTCTTCTCGTCCCGGTGAACTCGGGCGTTTCCCAGGCACGTCTGGTGTTCGTGTGCGCCGAGCAGTGGCCCCGTGAGCAGGTGGGGTTGCCGGGACAAGAAGGGGAATTAGAGCAAAGGTTTGGAAAAAAAAAATTTAAATGCATTAAAAAGTGATGTATGTTACACTCACAGTCTTTATTTAGTTATTTTTATCTAATTTTCATGCTGCGTGAGGACTCTGACACTAACCTATCGAGGTAAGAAATGGAGCCAAAGATATTTTGAGCTTTTGCATATAAGATTTTCTGGTTTTGCTTCACTACTCTTGGAAAGTACCTAATAATTGTACCCCGTTTATAAGTATATATGGTAACGCGAGTCAGAAATGAGATGGTGACTTGTAAATTCTCAAGATCCACTTCCGGTTTCCTGAGACAGCCGCTGTGGGTCCTGCGTCAGCCCCGCGGGGCCGGAAGTCACGGGAGCGCATCAGCCGCTCCCTGGGTCACTGTGACAGGGGCAGGGTCGCTGCCACTCTCCCACATCATTTGGTCACACTTGGCACAGCCTCCTGGAGTGCTGTTGCTCTGGCGTAAGTGAGCTTTTCAAAAATGTGTTTTCAATAACAGTTGAGGGGGCGCCTAGGGCCTCCCTGAGCTGGTTTTACGTGAACTCCTATCACGAATGGAAGTTACCAGATGTGCCCAGTGGCAGGCAGCGCTGCCGGCCGCCCGGTCCCCCAGCCGCTCACGCTCGAGGGCCTGCCGTCACCCCGCTTTGCCCACAGCCAGGGACCGGCTGACGGGAGGTGGATGCTGGGAGGCTGGCCCTCTGCCTTGAGGCAGAAGTGACACCGAGGTGCGGGTGACGCTGTAGGCCTCCAGCCGGCACCCCGTCAGGTCCCCCTCCCCGTCCAGCCCCCTGCTTTCTATAGGCTTTCCCTGAGAGCAGCTTGTGCACCAGGTCCCCCGTCCCGGGCTCTGCGTGAGGGAGCCTGCTGGAGGCGACGGGGACGCTGGAGGCGCACTGAGCCCTCGTGCCAGGACCAGCCTCCGCCTCGGCGGTCCACAGTCTGCTTGTCTTGTTTCTTTTCTTTTTAAAAAATGTTTATTTAGTTTTTGAGAAAGAGATAGTGCAAGCCAGGGAGGGGCAGAGAAAGAGGGAGACACAGAATCCAAAGCAGCTACAAGCTCCGAGCTGTCAGCACAGAGCCCGAAGCGGGGCTCGAACCCATGAACCGTGAGATCATGACCTGAGCTGAAGTCGGACGCTTAGTCGACTGAGCCCCACAGGCACCCCTCCTTGTCTTCTTTCTTGAAGCGCTGAGTGTTCTGTGATGTGCGTCGGATGCTGTGTCCGCGTCCCTGGGCCGTCCCGCACAGGGAAGGCCTCGTAGAGCCGTGAGCAGAGCGCTGCTCTCACACCGGGCAGGGTTCACGGCTGCTCAGGCCCGAGCGAGTCTCGGGTCGTGTTCACGTTGGCCTTGGCAGCCGTGAGCTCGTGCCCTTTGCACGTGACCACTAACACACTAACTAACCAACCCTCACAATCACCAAACACCCACACCACACAGATCACACAATCAACCACCCCACTAAGCGACAATACGTCCGCGCAGATTTAATGTACTAAAACATATCATGTACGTCGTACATAACTTACAATCTCGCCACGCACAGCATAGACCCGACCCCTCATACAGGTTAAGCTGGAACTTTGCCGTAACTCAGGATCAAGAGTCAGATGGGTACACGGCAGCTCAAGGGCTTGTTCTTCTCTGCTTTCTTCGTGCAGGTCCTGGACGCCTCGTCCCTTAGCTTCAACACCAGGCTGAAGTGGTTTGTGATCTGCTTTGTGTCCGGCATTTTCTTCTCCATCCTTGTGAGTCACAGCTTCGTGTTGCCCTTTATGTCAGACCCATCACCTGCGTGGTGGTCGCGAGCAGCCGCGTGGCGAGGCTGTTTCAACGGGACGCATTTTGTCCCCTGAAATAGGGGCTTAGAGATCAGTATAGGAGGGAGACATTCAGATCTCATGGGGCTTTAGGGGCTGTGAAAATAATTTTTTTAAGGAGAGTCAGGAATCGAGATGCGTTAACTGCTTTATTTCACTTGTCGTTTAGGAAGCCTGTTAACGTAAGAGTGAGGTTTACTCACATGTGCAGGGAGGGTTGTGGTGCAGCTGAGCTGTACTCCCCACTCCGGACAGGCAGAGAGAGCCTCAGCGAAGCAGATGCCAGTGAAAGTTAACTGCTTTTTAAAACTGTGCAAACATGATGCATTAGCACGTTTATACTCAAACTGTGTATTGTGTAATGATTATATTATTCCTTTTGCAGTAGCATATTTGTTTTGAGCTTTTACAATGGCATAATGATCTTAAAATCGATCTTAACTCAGGGAACTGGATTACTGTGGCTTCCCGGTGGCATCAAGTTTTTTGCAGTGTTTTACACGCTTGGGAACATCGCCGCGCTGGCCAGGTACGTGACGTTGGGCCCCTCGGGGTTGGGTCGCTGCCGCCGCCACAGCCCTCCTACTCGGGTGAGCTTCTGGAGCTACGCAGCTTACGGTCGTTCAGTAGAGTTAGCGGTTCCTGCCGTGAGCCAGGGCCATGACAGGGAGGGGACGGCAGCTCTGGCCGGCGTTTGGGGCGCGTGTGGGTGTTTCTGTCTGGACCCCAGGGTGCGGCGTGGGCACCGCCATCAGCCCCACACAGAGGGCAAGTCCCCACCCGGGGCCGTGTCCGGTAAGGGGACCGGGCGGACTTCTACCAGACAGTCCCCCAGAGCCTTGGTCCCTTCCCGCGAAGCCTTGTCTCGGTGACAAAGGACCGGCCTGCTGGTGGCCGGCCCAGAGATGCCACCGTAATGGTGCCAGCACAGCGGGCCCAGCGGCAGCTCGGAGCAGGTGCTCGGGAGCTCCTGTCGAGGCTCACGTTGGGCCTAGAGCTCACTTACAGTAAATAACCAAAATGTCAAGGTTAAAAGGTTTTCTTTTAATATTAATAATTAGGAAAAACATAAGTGATTTAGTGAGGGATATTTATTAGTAAACCAACATGGGAGATCTGTTCTCAAAAGCATTCGTGTTTACGTGGCCAAACCACAGCTTCATCTCTGACATCTCCTGTTTGTTTCAAATAGTACTTGCTTTCTGATGGGGCCCATGAAGCAGCTCAAGAAGATGTTCGAAACCACGAGACTGCTGGCAACAGTTGTCATGCTCGTAAGTAAATACTGAAAACCGAAGCTTCTGGAAGTCTCTCTGGCGGTGCTGTCTCACAGCTAACTGCCCGCCTTAGGTCAGACCACCACGCGTGTCCCGCTGCACTGCATGCGAGTCCTCATCACATCCGCGAGGCCGTGTGCGTGAGCAGGTAGATCGTACAGGGACCGCCCCGGAAAATCCCACGCGCGCTGCCGACAGCTGCTCCGGTGTTTGAGGTGGAGATAGGGCAGGGGCGCCTTTCATTTCCAGGCCCCCTGGAGGCTCTAACCGGATGTGTGCTCCTGGGGGTGGGGCCGGAATGCCGGTGTCCTCTGGGCCATCTGAGTCTCCTCGGGGACACTTGGCTTCTTAAGTGGCCAGTCGTCTGGCTTGCCGCCTTCCCCAGGTCACTGTTTGTCACCGACGGTGTGGCTCCTGTGGCAACACCTGTGAGGGTTCCGGGTCGCTGTCCCCCGTGGCTGCCGGGCCGCCCCTCTGAAATTTGCTCTGTGGCTCTTCGAACTGGGCGAGGTCTGTGGGCTCGTGGCTAGAAACCGTTCCCGCGCCGCGCATCTTGGGTTCTTGGCTGACGTTTCGGGTGTCCTGGGCCAAGGAACCCGAGTGTGCCTGATCCCCGAGCCCTTGGCACCCAGTGTGCTCGCTGGTGCCTGCGGCGGCCCCCCCACCTGACTGCACGCCGGCGGGTGTCAGGGCCAGTCGGCCTCGGCAGGTTTGTCCTGGTGACCACCGCGAGCCTCCAAGCGCAGTCCCCTTGGTGGCTCCCCCGTAGGAAGGTCTGCGACCGTAAGGGGCGTTTCCTCTCGCCCCTGCGCCAGGGAAAAATCCTTTTTTAGACTGATTTCTCACTCGTGGCCTTTTTCATCGTCATCATGGTTTATTACCCTGTCTCTGATTTTTCCAGTTAGAGTTCCGTGTATTACATGTGGAGCAGCACTGAGACCCAGTGTCGTCCAGCTTACTCAGAAGTTGTCTCGTGCTCTTAAGACAGGGAGGAGTTTGGGGCGCCTGGGCGGCTTAGTCGGTTAAGCGTCCGACTTTCGCTTAGGTCATGATCTCGCGGTTCGTGGGTTCGAGCCCCGCGTCGGGCTCTGTGCTGACTGCCAGCTCAGAGCCTGGAGCCTGTTTCAGTCTGTGACTCCCTCTCTGTCTCTCCCCTGCTCACGCTGTTGCTCGCTCGCTCTCCTAGAAATAAATAAAACATTAAAAAAAAAAAAAACAGGGAGGAGTTTATATTTTACCAGGATTTTTTGAGAGCCAACTTTACAGAGGGTGTCCTGGACCCCACCTGAGTCAGGTTCTCTACCTCCCGCCAATAAGCATAAAAATCGAGAAGGCTGTGCGAACGTTCACAAATACAGACTTTTTCCCAAAAGGGACCATGAAGTGTTCATACGACACAACTTCCTGGTGACTTGAGTCAGCACCTCCAGTCGAGGGTTCTGTGTGGTCTCGTTTGCCGCTTACATAAGATTGTGCCTCGTGATGGGCACACGCACGGCCACTCCCGCGGCGCCTCCCCAGGGCCAGCCCCCACCTCAGGCACGTCCCGGGCCAGTTCTGACTCAGTCATGGCCGGGGCCCCTCAGAGCCGCTGGGCGGACGCCATCCCCGTTTCTGCGAGGGGCTTACTGAGGTCACACTCGAGCATCAGAGCCGAGGGCTCTCTGCCCTCCAGCCTCGTGCTTGTCCCTGTTGCTGTCACCTGCCCCGTGAGGGGCCCGGGGATGTGCAGGGGAGATGTCACCTTCCGCATGGAAATCCCCACAGTAGATTCCTCACGTAAAGTCAGGTAAGGCAGAAGTACCGGGTGTCCCCAGTCGTACTGGGTGCTGTGTTGGGGACGCTCTTACTAGACCCCACGGGGGGGGCGGGTGTCCCGCCGGGCACGGAGTCACGTGTACGAGGGTCGGGTCCCTCTGGGTGGGACACCTGAAACTGACAGAACACTGGACGGTAATGACACCAGAATTAAAAAAATTAAAAAATAAATTTAAAAAAACAACAGCCTATATCCTGCATCATTGCTCAGACGTCCTTTCCGTTGATTTGCTGAGTGGAGAATTCACTCGGTGCCTGCGGCCCGCCCAGGACCCCCGCGGTCGCGCACCCGAGGGTGGGGTAACCTTGGCCCGCCCCGACTCTGTCCCGTGGTTTTATTACGCGCGCAGATGGATGCAGATCAGTTTACGAATTGTTTTAAAGGTTTTGCAAGGACTCACATTTGCACATTTTTCTTTCCTTCCCTGTAGTTGTGTTTCGTGCTTACGTTGTGCGCTGCTCTGTGGGTAAGTACGGCGGCCGCCCTGCTTTCTGCTAGCCGGCCCCTCACCGGCCCGGTCACACGGCCGCCCCACGGGAGCTCCAGCTCTGGCTTCCTGAAGCCCGCAGAGGTTGGGTGTCCCTAAAATCGTGTATCGTGACATGAACTTGGTGTTTAGGCTCACGATAGGCTCTGCCATCCGGGACAGGCAGGTTCGTGCTCGCCTCTGGGGCACCCCCCACCCCCCGCCCCTGGGCTTGCAGGGGCTCCTGCTCTCGTCCGCGGTGCTCACTAGCCGGGCCGCGCTGTCCCCGCCGGCAGGGAGGAGGCCGCTGACGAGGGAGTGTGTTTCGAGTCACAAGACATCGAAACTGTAAGGAGAAAGGTCAAGGGAACAAACCCAAATTAGCAAAAAGAGGCCAAAGGGGATGCCTGGGTGGCTTAGTCGCGAGGGCATGCGACTTGCTCTTGGGGTCAAGAGTTTGAGCCCCACGTTGGGTACAGAGGTTACTTTAATTCATTTTTAAAAAGATGTAAAATCGCTTAAAAAAAAAAAAAAAAGGCAAAAGAACTTAATGTCATGCCTCTTACTGTGGAGATGGACAGCCCTTCATTAGCCTCAAGTCCAGCGCACTCGCTGGTGCTCCTGAGCCTTTATTCTCTGTAGTAACTTGTCTGCTTCCCACGGGAGTTTGGGTGGTTCTTGAGCCATCAAGAGAACTACGCGTTTAAAAAAAAAGAAACAGTAGCATACGATCTGTTCTAGAAATTTCCTGTCAGAAATGTTCTGATTTTAATTTTGATGGTGTAACGACTGAGCTTTAATTATCTGACAATTCTTACACCTCATTTCTCTTTTTTTTCTTTTTAATGTGTGTTTACTTTTGAGATAGAGACGCAGAGCACCAGCAGGGGAGGGGCAGAGAGAGAGGGAGACAGAATCCAAGGCAGGCTCCAGGCTCCGAGCCATCAGCACAGAGCCCAACACGGAGCCTGAACCCACGAAGTGGGGGATCATGCTGAGCTGAAGTTGGACACTCAGCCTACTGAGCCACCCAGGTGCCCCTGCACCTCATTTCTCAGTGATGACTAAAAGCGTATATTTTTAAAATTTTTAATGTTTACTTTTGAGAGTGAGAACAAGCATGAGCGAAAGAGGGAGACAGAATCGGAAGCAGCTCCAGGCTCTGAGCTGTCAGCACAGAGCCCGATGCGGGGCTCGAACCCACGAACTGTGAGATCATGACCTGAGCTGAAGTCGGATGCTCAACCGACTGAGCCTCCCAGGCACCCCTGCAAGAATGTTCTTAAACAGCATTTGCATATCTGTACGGAACATTGATTTTTGGTTTTGGAATGGTCTAACAGCCTATTTATTTATAGGCAGTAAATTAAAAACGAATAAGGAAGTAAGCTGAAATAAAATAGACAAGGAACTCTAAAAATAGGCCATTTTAAAACAGAAACTGCTAATTTTACATTATTCTAGAAGATCACAATAAAATACAGTTTTTCTTCAAAAAATAACTGCAGGAGCAAGAGAGGAAGGAGCAAAGGCTGTGAGCCCCACACAGGGTAGAGATCGGGGCTTTTCAGGGTTGAGTCTAGGAAAGTGGGCGCTGACTCGGGGGGCCGGCCGGAGAGCGCTCCGGTGTCTGCCGCCTCCGCACGGGCACTTCGGGGACACCTGCTTGGTGCCCAGGGCCTCAGCGTCTGAATGCACACGGACGCCTCGAGAAAGGAGAGGTGCTTCGTGGGGATTTACGTTTCCGGCCCGCCGAGTCTTAACTTTGTCACAGCAAAGCCTAGCGTCAGTGAAGCTCTGCGTGTTTGACGGGGCGGAGTTGAACCTGTTCGGGGGAAGTACTTGCGGCAGTTGTGAACTTGTCATGTGTCTGTTTGCTGTTGTCAGTGGCACAAGCGGGGGCTGGCCTTGCTCTTCTGCCTGCTGCAGTTCCTGTCCATGACCTGGTAAGTCCCGCTCTCGCCCGTTAGGAAGGTAAAGTGCCCTGAGCGGCCATAAGCACCGTGTTCCGGGCCTTTGGGCCTGGGAACATCTGGCCTTTCATGTGACCGTTAGAAGCACGTGCCCTGGGGGGGGACGGGCCTCCCGAGAGGTCACGAGTGAGGTCCCGTGAGACCTGCGCTCGCTCAGTGGTGGGGTCACACCAGTGGGGGTGGGGTGCCGTACGACACACTTACACAGCGGTGCCCTTACTTCTTGTTAGTGTGAGAAGGGGAGACGGTAGCACGTGTGGGTAATACCGGACGAACCCTGAGAGTGAGGCCGCGTGACGGGCAGGCCCGGGGACGGTGGTGCACTGTTCTCTCCGCACCTCCCACAAGTGCAAGTGCAGGGGGGCCTTTGCTCTGCTCAGCGGGCCCTGGACGTGCATCTGGCGCTGGCGCGTCTGCATCTTCAGGAATACAGGTGGCCTCAGGCATTAGGGGCACCAACCCCCCCAGCGTCGAAGATCAGTGCATGACCTGTGCCCCGAACTTAACTCTGAAGAGCCTACCATTGACCCCAGGCTTCACCGGTCACAGAAGCAGTCGATCGATTTGTTTCTCCCCACTCCGCAGTCTTAGGATAACACCTATTCCTACCTATTCCTTGGTTCTTCGGGGTTCCTAGGCTGCGCCGCTCGTCTGCCGGGTTTTTCAGAATGTTGCAAATCTCCAACAGACACTTTCCCACTGTACTTACCGGAACAGAAAATCCACGTTAAAGTGGACCCGGCAAGTGCACAGCCATGTGGTTCCACGGAGTCAGCTGCACGGAGTCGTAAATCCCCCTCTGCCCCCTCCCCTCCCCGCCCCGCCTGGGGTGCCCTTTCCTTCTCCCCCCACCCCCGCCTGGGGTGCCCTTTCCTTCCTTCTCTCCTCCCCCACCGCCTGGGGTGCCCTTTCCTTCCTTCTCTCCCCCCCACCCCGCCTGGGGTGCCCTTTCCTTCCTTC